GGGAAGAATTCCACAGAGGTAACAATGTGTTCTACCTGTTGCATTATGTTGGAGCACATGGTATCACTGTGACTTATTGGTGATGTCAACTTTGATCTCTTGGCTAAGGTGATGTGTTAACCAAGTTTTCCCCACTGCAAAGTCACGACTTCCCTTTTTATATCCTTCTTAGAAGTGAGTCATCCCCAACCCATATTCAAGAGGAAGAAAATTAAGCTCTCTTCCTTTTAATGTGCATTCTTGGAAGTGGAATTTTAATTGTTTAAACCATTCAAACAAATGAGTGGGATGGGCTTTAAAAAAATGTAATAGAGGTACACCTGAAATCTGGACTCACTATTTATAGGCTGTGTAGGTTCCAGGTTCACACATAACAGTTAGTAAATAAGCATGGGAGGATGTTTCCAAATTTGGGTATGCAGACCTCTGAAACCTTTGTTAGCACCTCGATGGTAGAGTGGAATGCACCATTCTTAGAGGTACTGCAATACCAGGCTGATGAATGGAGTGGATGGAGCAAACTCCCATTCTATTTCTCTGCTCCAAAAATCCACTTAACACACTGTCTTCAGATAGAGGAAGTAGCAGATATTAAATTGATCACAATAGTTACTATACTTGGTCTTAGCTAAAAGACAGGGAAGCAATGAGGTGGACTTGTGATTCAAGACATAATATTCTAATTGCCACAAGTTATTACATTAAAATCCCAACTTGCTATATTAGATTCCCAACTCAATATTAAGAGGTCATTTAGTAACAGAACATTTTAGGAATGCCAGCATCACAAAAACCATCTCTTAACCATGACTCCTCCGTTGTCCCCTCAAAGAATCAAATTAGGAATCATCCTCACAAGTATTTAAAGGCAAATACCAAAGTTGTAGAAAACTAAAAGTAACTTTATTCAACGTCATATGTCTGCAACTTATTTTCATATCCTTTGGCACAGAATGAATGTGGTTTATGTATACAATGTGTATGGTACATGATGTTCACTATACTAATCTCTCAACTTTCCTGTAGGTTTTTAAAATTTCAGAATAAAAAAGTAAGGTCATTTAACAAAGTTAAATAGTCTTCACCAAGTTCATATTAAGTCAGTGGTCCACATATGGTACTGACAACACATCATGGCTCAAGAAATCAACTTTGAAGCTGTGACTACAATTGTATTTTTGTTTTTTATTTAAGAATGCATTTCTTGGAGGTGGAGGTGTAGCTCAAATGGTGGAAAACCAGCAAGAGGCCCTGAGTTCAAGCTCCAGAGGCTGAAATAAGAGGGCTGTTTCAAGGCTACCATGGACAAATAGTTCTTGAGATCCCATCTCCAAAATAACAGAGCAAAATGGACAGGAGGTGTGGCTCAAGCAGTAGAGTGCCTGCTTTGCAAGTGCAAAAGCCCTGAGTTCAAACCCCAGTACTGCCCCCCAACACTCCCCCAAAAAAGAATGCATTTCTTAGGCAGGGCAGGATTACTCACACTTGTTTGTGTGTGTGTTTCTTTTTTGTTGTTGTTCATTTAGTCACGTGTGCATACGTTGTTTGGGTCATTTCTTCACCCTGCCCCACTCCCTCACCCTTCCCCTCTCCCTCCCTCAGTTCCAGGCAGGTCCTGCCCTTATCACTAATTTTGTTGAAGAAAAGACATGAGCATAATAAGGAAGACAAAGAGTTTTTGCTAGTTGAGTTAAGGATAGCTATACGGAGAGATTCCTACTATTGCTTTCGTGTACCCATGTGTTACGACCCATGTGGATTCAACTCTAACTGATCTTTACATTGGTTCCTGATCCCCTGCTCATGAAAACCTCTGTCGTTTTAAGGTTTCTGTATTAGTTCCTCTGGAATGGGGACATCAAACACTTTCATGTTTTGGGTTTTCTACCTATTCCTATATCTCCCGTATGTGTTCTCCCCTTGTCTTGTAACCCTAGCTACTTAGGAGACCGAGATCAGGAGGATGGTGGTTTGAGGCCAGCCTAAAAGTGAAATCACCCCTCACCCCCAAAAAGTGAGATCCCATGTCTTCCAACAAGTTGAGCATGGTGGTGTGCACCTCTAATTCCAGCTGTGGGGAGATGGTGATAGAAGGATCACACTCCAAGGCCTGCCTGTGCAAAAACACAAGATCTTATCTGAAACAAACAAACAAAAACCACACAAAGGCAAAAAGGGTTGAAGCTGTGGTTTGTGAAGTGGAGCACTTGCCTTGCAAGCACAAGACCCTGAGCTCAAACCCCAATACCACCAAAATGAATGAATGAATGAATAAAATAAATAAATAAAATGAAAACACATTTTCTTCATTGACCTGCATTGCAGGCAGGCATGATAAAGCATGGATAATGTTCATGCAATAAACAATTGGAATTGGGTAAAGAGTATCAAGGTTTTGAAGTGCAGCCTGCCAATGTTTAAGTTAGAAAATGGTTGATTTAGTTCCTAGTAATACATTAGCATTTTATCTTGTATTTATTCCATCAAAGTACTACATATGTATCATTGTATTTATTAATCACCTACTAGAAATGTACTGTATCAAGTGTTGGAGACACCCAATTAATTTGGACAACCCTAATACAAGAGTTATTTCAAGTGAGATGGGAAGGCAAGCATATAAATAAATAGCTAGCTACAAAACGTGGTAAAGGCTTTCCATACTAGAACTGCAAAGTGTTGTGTGGATTTAGAGAAGATAAATGAAATAAACAGATGGGATTAGGCTGGAAATATCACTAATGATGTTTTATAATAAATACCTTGGGTAAACTAACTTTTTTTTTCGGCAGTACTGGGGTTTGAACTCATGCTTTCATGCTTGCTAGGCAGGGCTCTACCAACTGAGCCACTTTGCTAGCTCTATTTTGTATTGGGTATTTTTAAGACAGGGTCTCTAGAACTATTTGCCTGGGCTGGCTTTAAACCTTGATTCTCCAGATCTCTGCCTTCCGAGTAGCTAGAATTATAGACATGAATTGCAGACGCCTATCTTAAACTGGTCCTCGATGGCAGAAGCTGCACAGCACAGGAATCATTAAGTGCTACCTGACAATCTCCAGTGGGGATGGATTACCACCTTAATGACAAACTTTAGGTTTGTGGGTTTTTTGTTGTTATTTTGTTTTGTTTATGGCAGTACCTGAGTTTGAACTTAAGACCTTGCACTTGCTAGGTAGGTACTCTACCACTTGAGCCATGCCCTGCAGCCCTTTCTGCTTTTAGTTATTTTTTGAATAGGGTCTTGCATTTATGCCCAGGCTGTCATTCTCCAATTTATGCCTACCTTATAACTGGGATGACACCACTTCCAGCTTTCTATTAATTGAGATGGGAATCTCAGTAGCTTTTTGCACAGGTTGTCCTTGAACCGAAATCCTCCTAATCTCCACCTCCTGAGTAGCTGGGATTACAGACATGAGCTACTGTTGCCAGTTTAGGTTCATGTTTAAAAACACATAATCTAGTGGGGGGAAAAGGGCCAATACATGTAATAATCCTGGTAGCTGCTATGTCACTCTTAAGAGGAACTGCAAATAAGTCAGAAATGTCTCTGCACAAGGACCTTGTGAGTGGGTAGGAAAAAAAGGGTCACATTCCAGACTTGGTTTTATGGTCAGAGGGAAGAATGTCCTGGCTGCCTAACCCAAACCATAAGAACTTTCCACAGTGACAGTGAATCACATCTTTCATTTGTCTTTTTGTTGTTGTTGTTCTGAGACATGGTTTCACTATGCAGCCCAGGCCAGCCTTGAACTCATTAGCTTCCTGTCTCAGCCTCCAAAGAACTAGGATTGCAGGTGTGACAGCCTTCCTGAGTCACCTGCAAGCCTCCATAGCTAGCCTCCTATGGAAAAGAAAGAGTTGGGACTGTGGAAATAAGGGAGCATGATGTTTTGATAACAGACAAAAGCAATTACAAAGACATAGAATGGAAAAGATGGGCTCTTCTACTGAGCTATGCCCCTGGTATGTGTCATTATACAAAGACACACATAAGTATGTTTCAAGTGGAAAGCAAGCTTCTCCTTATGGAAAACTTTCTTATTGCTGGACGTAACTAAAAATGATTTGTTAGAAATCCTGGAAAGCTTTTTCTCTAAAATCATTCGATCAAAAGTAAAGTTCTTATTCTCCTCTTGAAGGTTTACAAATGGTCTGGAAAAGGAGTTTAAATAGTAAACACTGTAACTAAAATAGAATCTTCCTTAGGCCCCAGAGAGCTTAAAGTGAGCAACAGGCCATTAATAGCCCAATTCTGGGATTCATAACATCTTTTGGAATAATACTAGGGAGAGTATTTATAGTCTAGAGGTAAAGGGGAATAAGGAGTACACAGGCCAAGTGTGAGTCATGCTTTATTCTGCTCTCCTCAAGGCTGTTTCAGAGCCTTTCGTTCTGACCAAGCACAAGCAGCCTTGTAGCTGACAGGACCATATACAGAAGGAGGTGTGCAGGAGGAGCCATGTTGGCTAATGAAGGTATCTTAACTACAGCATTCATTCTAAATCAGCAAGCAAAAGGACAGTGTAGGGGAGAGAACAGGACTGTAGCTCCTGGGTGCTCTCTGAGGGAATAGCAGGCAGGAAACTAAGAATACAACTAGGGAGAACAGAACCTGCCTCACTTTCCAAGTTCTGCCCTGCTTCTCCTGAGGCCTTTGCTTAATTGCCATTTCAGTAATGATATCTTGCTTTTGGGGCAAAAAAAGACCATATTGGACACTAGAGACCAAACTTGGGTCTAATACCTTTCATTTCGCAACCCTGTTTTGCTATCAAGGATGTTTCAAACACAAATACTGGGGTCTGAAAGAACATCCCATCAAGGCTGTTACCCATGTGTTCCATACATACCATCAATGACCTCACAGGTACCAAATACCTGATATGCATGAAGCACTTCAATCTTTGATAATGAATTGAAAGTGAAGGCTACCTCAGAAAAAAAAAGGAAGGAGAGGGAGATGGTGCCTTTCTGCTTCTGTCCAGTTGACCTACCTCGTAAAAGAGTCCTTCTGGGAACTGCTGGAAGCACTGAGCACACACAAAACACTGTTCATGGTACAGCTCACCGTTACTGTTCACAATCTTCTCGGCGGGTGCAAAGCCCCCCTTGCAGCGCTCACAAGTGGCACTGGCCAGGGCATTGGCCATGTTGCTGCAACACACAAAGGACAGCAAGTCAGACTATCAATCTTTTCTTAGGTTTAAGACCAGACAACATGAAGAACAGAGGGACAACTTTTATCAGATGACAAAACTTGTATTTTACCTATAAAGCCCAGTTTCTAACTTGTGCTTTAAGTACACTGCTCAGACTGCCCCAGCCTCTATTCTAGTACCTTACTTAGATTTTGAAAGGGCCTCCTACTTTGATCCTGTTAGTCTAACATTTTTAGCATTCTTCTAGTAAATATATTAACAGTGAGTATTTACTATGTGGTTAGTCACTAGAAATGAAGATAAAGTCAAAGATTGCTCTCAGTCTAGTGTGGTGGTGCACACATGTAGCCCCAGAGAATCGCTTGAGCCCAGGAGTTCCAGGCTAGCTGGGGCAACATAGCAAGACCCCCATCTCAAAAAAAAAAAAAAAAAAGTTTCCCTCAAGGAACTCAGGTTTACAGCTGGATATCCAAGTAGCTTAATTAAAATATCTGTGAGCCAATATCTCAAAGGCATTTCTTTCCGTTTTGAAAATGAATCTGAACTGCATGTCAACTGAATGCCATGTCATAACCAGACTGTCCCTTTGATTAGATCATGTGAAAGTAACTGTGTAAGTAACTCTTAAAACTAGGCAAGATGCCCAGGTCTAGTAACTAATGAGTAAGGTAAATACTAATATTATAAAATGTATTTTAATGCAGTTTTTTACATTAGAAAGTCATTTTACAGATGCCAAAACAGGGGTTCACAGAGGTAGGTGGTTAGTCCAATGCCACAGAGCTAATTAGTGAAATATATGGGACAAGAATCCAGGCTACCCACTTATAAAATCATTATGTCACAATATATTACATTAATTCCAAACACTTTTGAGAAGATAACAGGACACCATCACGTTTTACAGGCCAGAAAACTGAAACCAGACAGTAAGTAACTAGTACTTAACCCAGGGACTCATTAATAATCCCACTATACCTTAGAACACAGGAGGCAGTCAACTTCTCTGTAAGTACTATGTGTTTGGAGGAAGAAAAGCAATATGGCTCTGATAGGCATACAATCAGGTAAGGATTTCACATAAATACCCATTCTGTTTCTCAAAGTCCTAAAAATGAAGAAAGTTGCCTATGCTGCACAATCACTGGCAGTGACTCAAGAGGCTGAGGCAGGAAGATCACAAGTTCTCTTTACTTGGCAGTTTTATTTTGGGGGGGGCGGTACTGAAACTTGAACTCAGGGTCTCATGCTATCTATCTATCTATCTATCTGTCTGTCTGTCTGTCTGTCTGTCTATCTATCTATCTAGACACAGGGTTTCACTATGTAGCCCAGGAACTTGTGATCTTCCTGTGGCCTGGAACTTGTGATCTTCCTGCCTTAGCCTCTTGAGTGCTGGGATTATACAGGCATGTGCCACCTCATCTGGCTGATTCTGCAAGTGTTTTGCAGATGCCCATTCAAAGCACAAGCTCCACCTGTATGTCTTGTCCCGATACAGCTTCTCACTTCCCAAATAGTTTATCAATCTACTTTGTTCCCTCCAACATTCTCTTGAATCTTTACAGTGACCCTGTGAGGAAGATGGCACAGAGAGTCCATTTTATGGACAATTTAACTGCCTTGCCCCTGTTTCCAAGATTTGCTATTTCCTAGCAAAAGTGGTCATACTTACCTTGCTTTTCCTCCACCCCAACCCCATGGAAGACATCTCTGCCTTTTGCCTTCTTTTCTCATGTTTCAATAACAGGCACTCTGTTTTATAGCTTTGTTATCAGTAACTCCATGTGGAAATTCCATGCTCATAATCTCCTAGTAATCAAAACTCAACCTTATTTAACAGGTTTGAATACAGAATTAAAATGTCACCAAAAAAAAAAAAAAAAAAAAAGGGAAAGAAGAAAGGGAGGCAGCCTCACTGCTGGGCAGCCCTAGCCTAAGCTCATATAAACAAATTTCTGCTGTGTTATTTCAGAATTAATGTGGAATGGGGAGAAAAGTCTGTACACTTTCCTTCTACCCAGATAAACTGCAGCAGTTTTAACAAAGCTCTGAAGAAGTTTGTGCTTCTTCCTTTTTCCTGATCAAAATCCATAGGTGTTCCTGAGTAGGGCATCTGCCCCAATAATTCTCAGAACTGTTCTGAGGATAAAATAAGAAAAAATACAGAAAACCACTTTGGAAAACAGAATATGCTATTAAAATACATGCCACTAATTTAATTCAAAAGATTTGCCAAACTTCAGTAATCTTAATGGAATTCTAAAAGTGCTGGAAAAAACCATTCTGGAATGTCATGTTTCATTATCACCTAAGTCACTGGATCTTAAAGCATCTGAATGTTCCTCTCCTTTCTAACCACATCTCTGTGGGGGCTGTATTTTCTTTCTTTCATCTAAAACAACATATTGTAATAGGTTGAATAAAGAAACAGGTATGAGAATTCAGAAGTAGTTATCAAGACAGACTACCCATAAGATTTGTGAAGTTTTACAATGGCATTCTTTTCTATATATTAATATGTAATGAGTTTATTGTTACTAGTAAGGCAATTAGTAAATATTTACAATTTTTCCCAGTTTAAATTTCTTATACAGTAAATGTTGGTAAACCAAAGTTCTCTGGGGACTTCAATACTTTAGGCAGAGTACAATAGGATTCCCAGGTCAAAATTACCACTGACTTACTCATTACACTACAGACTTTATATTCAAGTTCAAATAGATAAACACATTCCAGAAACAAGCACAGATTACTTCACACACAGGAAAAATAGACTGCTTTAGGGATAATTTCATATGTATTTTTCAAGAAGTATTCCTTTTGGTAACAAAGTGGGGAAAAGGAAACAGCAATCATCTTGCCTTCCTACAGACTGCTTTGTGTTTTCCCTTTCCTCTCTTGTCTTGACCTTCTGGCACTATGCACCATTTTTTTCCAGCTGACTTCAAATGATAGAAGTTTCTTCTTAAAAGGCAGAAATGACAATTATATCTATCATCAGAGCAGTTATAATTAACTGGCTAACTTTTCAGAAAACAATTTCCACTAAAAAGTGTTGATGAGGAGTAAAGGAGGATTATATTTATGTAAAAGCCTGTAGTACAGATTTTACTGATCTACTTCTCCAGATCAACCTTATACAGCAAACAGCAATCCAACTTTCCATTATTCAAATGCCTCATTTATCACCATATGTGAAATGAACATTCTGCTCCTAAAAATACAATAATGTGCAAAATCCAAAAATCATCTTAAGAATTCAATAAGCAGTTGAAATACATGTTACAGAAAAATTCCTCAAGAAAAATGTTTGTCTTTATCAGTTCTTTCTTTTTTTACTGGTTTATCAAACCTGGTCTTATCTTTGAAAACTTTTAGAGTATAAGTTTTTCCTGTTATGAATCCTGATTAAAAAAACTCTCAACCTCCCTCATGGATGACATAATGAAAATGTACTTTCCAAAGACAAGGACTTTCTACTCTTCCTGTGATGGCAGCATTTTCCTTCACATCTGTGTGTCCTCTAGTGGAAGTCTTACAAGACAGGCAACCTGTCTCCCTGGAACATGCTGCATTATGAGCCAATTGCAGAGCTCCCAAAGCACCCAGGAAAAGTCCCGCTACATAAAACCACATTGGTCAGGGAAAATGACTAGGAAATAGAGAGCTGAAGAAGTTGAGATCTGGAAGGGGGCATTCTGGGAAGAGGTAGACTCACAATTTTGAATAAAAGTCACAAAACTCCTTGTAGACTTTGACATCACTGTGCCTGCGCTGCAGTTTGGACACAGCCCTCTCATCTTCATTCCCATTAGCCTCGTGAACACTGTTAAGGACTGTCTGGGGGATTTCTTCATTCTCCGGAATAGCACACGGGCGTGCTCGGCCTGGAAAGGCCATTGTGGGTGCTTGAGAGCTCAGAGTGCAAGGACAAGAGCGGCAGGACACAGAGACAGGAGAAACAATATCCAGGCTCCCTGCTTCCCAGTCAGGGTCACTCCCACTGTTCCCACGCACGTCAGCCAGCTGCTAGGGTCACTGCTGACGCTTCATGTTAAGAGCTCAGCAGCACAGCACTCAGTCACACAGCAGTCCACATTTACTGAGCCTTTCTAGAACTTCTAGAAAAAATTCCACAAAGCAGTGACACTATTTTTGGAGCAACCTCCCCAGTAGACTGCGGTCATAAACACTAGTACAGGACATAGAGGGCTGCTTTGTAGGCCTTCAAAGGAAAGAATTACCCACATCTTGGGTATTTGTTATCAGGTTTCAACAACACCAACACTGCTCTCTCTAAACTTTGGTGTTCGTGGCATCTTTTGGAGAGGAGCATTTGAACCCTTCTCTGACCTGAGCTCCCACACTGCAGGGTGTGATTGCCAGCTATGCCAAGATTGGTGAGCTCCTATGAGACTAAGCACTATGTTGGCGTCTATTATCTTTGCTTTTGGCTAGAGCAATCATTCAAAAAATGGCTTCAGTTTAATTATAACTCTTTCTTCTACTTAACCCCAGCTAATCCTGTAACATAATAGGTGAGAGACAGGGTTTCTTGGTCTTTATCATGACTAAAGAAGCTCTCACATGCTCTGACATTTTTCCTATATTCAGTTCACACTTTGATCCATTTTGAATTGATTATTGTTTATGGTGAAATGGGCCTAGTTTATTTCTTTTGCATATGGACATCCAATTTTCTCAAGACCACTTATTGAAAAACTTTCTCCTATGCATATTCTTGCCATAAATATGTTATAAATACATGGATTTATTTAAGCGTTCTTCATTCTGTTCCACTAATCTGTGTGTCAGTTTTTTAGGCCAGCACCATGCTGTTTTGGTTACTACTGTTTTGAGATCAATTATTGTAATACCTCTAGCTTTGGTCTTCTGTTCAGGATTGTTTTGGCTGTTATGGGGTTTTTATGATTTTATATAAATTTTAGGAGCATTTTTTCTACTTCTAAGAAGAATCTCAATGTTATTTGGTAGGGATTTACTGAACTTATAGACTGCTTTGGGTAGTACTTGTAACAATATTAATTCTAATCCCTGAACATGTCTTTCTACTTTTTTGTGTGTTCTCTTCAATTTCTTTCATTAGTGTTTTGTAGTTTTCATTATAGAAATTATTCTTTTCCTTGGTTAAATTTATCCCTAGATACTTTCTTTTCTTTCCCTCTTGTTTTTTTTTTTTGTTGTTGTTGTTGTTTATTTATTTGTTTTAAGCTATTCTCCAATTCTTTCCCAGTAATTTGTTACTTGGTGTATGAGAAGAGCTCCTAATTTTTGTAAGGTTAAGTTTGTATCCTGAAATGTTACTGAATTCATTTATCAATTCTAAAAGGTTTTTTACTAGGGGGGTGTCTTTAGGTTTTTCTATTCATAAAATAGTATTGTCTGTAAGTGGTGATAATTTTGACCTCCTCCTTTTCTATTTGGATGCCTACAGACAGAACTATTAAACAACAGTCACTTTAACATGAATTGTTTTCATAATTAACTGTATCATATAGCACAAAATATTCTACAATGGTTTAATCAGTCAGTATAACAGAATTATTATTTGGATGTAAAACAGATTTGTGACTTTACCAGTTTGTTTACAATTTTTCCAGATCCCATTCTTCTCTCCTTTCCTTTCTATTATCTAGAAACATCCTAACTGGGAACCAGAGGGAGAAAGGAGGCTGAGGTTCTGGAGGAAGATAAAGACATGAAAGAGATACAGCATGAAAGAGATAGATCATCTTCTATCAAACATCTCCATCCCATTAGCCTCTCACTAGGAGCAAAAGATCCAACCAGTTGATTCTCGTTCCTCCACTGCAATGGTAAAAGTAAACCAGCTCTGAGATTTTAGGGGCTAGTGACAATACAAACTCTTCCTTTAGCAGCTGCTCTGGTAAGGTCTGTACCTTCTTAAAAAGTAATTGCTCACATTGTTCTACTGTGTATTTTACATCATCCTGAACACATGAAACTTTTACTGTGTGTTCATGATGCAAACAGACCCAAAGGGCATCTAGGAAGTTATCTGGTCCACTACTGGTAGAAAATATTACATATCTGTTGAATGAATAAATAAGTGGATACAAGACACAGTCTTTGCTTCTATGAGTATACAATGTGGTCAGTGAAACAGTGTTTACAGATAAACATATGGTTTCTGCCAGGTGCAAGCATAAAACAAGGAGGCAGATTTCTAGTTTAAGTGCCAGTGCCCTGAATAAGGATCAGTAACCATAAGGCAACCGAAAGGTTGGGTGGCATCATTCTTCCAAAAAGACCACACAGGCAGTCACCTCTCTGATTCAGTTATCGAAGAGCAGAGTTAAAAGAAGTATGTTGTGTTATTTTTCCAAAAAGGACATGAGTGAGAGTAATTAAGGCCAAATAAATACCACTGTTCACGTTTTTATCTAAGCATTTTGTTTCTTTTCAAACCATTTTTATCATTTAATAATGCCACTCCAAGAAATGCAAACAACACTTTTGGAGTATGATTCTAACTTTGAGAAAAACATCTGCCACAATGTCCTTGGGTGAAGCTCCTATGGCAAATGCAGCAGCATCAGAACAGTCCCAAAAAGTCCCTTTCATCTGAACAGCAAGTCTATTAGATGACTTCTGTTGAAGACTTAGGGTTGTCTGAGGTTCTATATTGCTCAAGAGCTGGTTCTTGCTAAGAGGTTCTATAGTCTAATTAACCCTCCTCATCACAGTGGCTTATCTGGGTCATTGGGAGATCCCCTTGGACAAGTCTGAATCCCAAACACCCTTCTGATGGTCAGAGAAGAGAGATTTCTATTTCATAAATTCATTTTTTTTTATCATTTACTGTGTGCTAAACTCTATCACTTACTAAAGGATGGATTTGGGGCCTTCGCTGAATATGCTCCGAAATTTGTTAGGGGCACACCTGATGCTAATCTGACTCACTCTAGTGTCCCATAAAGACAACTGTAGAGGTTCAAATTCCACCAGTTTGCTAATTCCACAACTTCAGCCAAAATAAACTCCACTTGCAGCATACACACAGTCAAAGATAATTAACTTACATAGAGACATACACAAAACATTACAGCTGTTTCCAGGATATAATCGTGTTGCCAAAACCTTTAAAAGCAGGGAGTGGGGTTTGTTTTTGTTTATAGTACTGGGGACTGGACCCAGAGCTTCATACATGCAAGTGCTCTACCACTGGGTTAGGCCCACAGCCCCTAACAGAAAGTTTTTGTTTTGTTTTGAGACAGGGCCTTACATTTTTCATTTGAGCTGAGAAAATAATGGGACTTACTCAGTCCTCCTTATCTGTGGTTTCTGCATCCATAGAATAAAGGAACTTCACATGAAAGATATTTTTAAGCTGGGGAACAATGGCTACTTGCAAGGCTGAGACTGGGAGGATCATGGTTCGAGGTCAGCATAGGCAGAGAGTTCATGAGAGTCCATCTCCAAAATAAACAGAGCAAAATGGACTGGAGATGTGGCTCAAGTGGTAGAATGCCTGCTTTGCAAGTGTGAAGCCCTAAGTTCAAACCCCAGTCCTGTGTATGTGTGTGTCTGTGTGTGTGTGTGTGTAAAGAAAATGAAAGTGCACTGGACATGTACATATCTTCTCTTCTCATTATTCCCTAAAAAATACAGTATAACAACTATGTACACAGTATTTACGTTGCATTAGGTAACATAAGTAATCTGGGGATGATTTAAAGTATAGGGAAGATGTGTAGGCTCTATGAACATACTAAGCCATTTTATATAAGGGACTTGAGCATCCAGGAATTTTGGTATCCCCACAGTGGGGTAGGGTAGTGGTGGTGCTGGTGGTGGTGTAGTGGAGTATCATGGAACTGATCCCCATGACTATGGAAATATATGTACATAACAGATGAATAAACCAAGAACTCAGCAAGAACAACTAGAATGAAGTTTTTGCAATTAAAGAGTTCTGTAATACTAGGGCATTCACATTGTTGAGGCAGCCTGGTTAAATTATCATTTGGCAAAATGAACTATTTTCACTGTAGTTCACTAGTCTGCTCAAATGGGAAATTTAATCTGATTTCCCCCAACTACTAAAAACAAAACAACCATGACATGCAAGTAAAGATAATGGAGCTGGAGAGTTTCCCATTTCCCAGATTTCAGGACAAATGTACATTGTTTTCTTTCAATAGTCAGTGAGGAAACCGACAAAGGTTGGCCATAAAATGATATGGAGTTGCAATCAATATTCCATTTTACCTTGTTTGTTAAAATTTTTTCCTAATTTTTGACTAGTCAAGCCCCAACCCCCAAAAAAATCATCAGAGGCAAGAAAGTAAGAAAGAAAGAAGGCACACATTTTTTTCAAATAAGCTTAAAATGAATTCAACTACACATTGTTTTAGGTGTTTGCACTAGTGTTTACTTATTGGAATTATCAAAGTAGGGCAGAGGTAGGTCAAGTGTATGTGGTGGTTCATGCCTGTAATCTTAACTAATGGGGAAGTGGACGGAGGCAGGAAGATTTCAAGTTTGAGGCATGCCAGGGCAAAGTTACTGGTAAGACCCTGTCTCAAGAACAAAATTGAAACAAAAGGCTGAGATAGTAGCTGAAGTGGGAGAACACTTGCCTTGCATACACAAGGACCTGGTTTCTTTCCTCAGTACCACATGAACAAACAAAATATAGCAGAGGTACTTGGACTTTGTTATAGTATGTTAAATATCTGAATAGGCCAGGTGAAAACTACATCACCAAATAAAGATGAAAAGACCGGAGATTCAATTACATCCTATGCCATCAATGCCCCACCTCAGAACCTGAAGAGCATCCAAAAGTCCAAGAAATATAATGAAGTTGTGACTAGGATATTGCACTCTGCGTCTGATTGCTTGTAAGAATCTTCCTTTGGGGGGAAAAAAAAAACTGATGTAAAAGCAAGAGACTATCATTGGCACTGGAGATCAGGAGTTAGAGCATCACAAACCTTATGACATTTTAAGTATGTTCATTTCCTTCATGAGGAAAATCAGTGGAATACAATTCATTTGCAAGTTGAAAACTTCTAGGAAGTGAACTAGCAGGTACACACTTTGCCCTAAAATCAGTTATTCAAATAGTGTGATTCCAGTACATGAGGGTGAGGCAAAAAAATTCCCCTCCTGGTATCTGAAGCCCATGGGAATAAAACCTGTAAAAGAGAGTGGCTGCTCAGGAACCACTGGCAGAGGAGGTAGGAAAGGACACTCTTGCTTTGGATCAGTGTCCACAAGGGTCCTGCAACACAAGTAAGGTCCTGAACAGGTTCCATGGTGTCAGAAATACTCTGTCAAGAACAGGCATAAATACTGTAAATCAATAGTTCAACTACTCAATCTTAACCAATTAACAAGTATTGATAGGGCCCATTTCTTATGAAACA